AAATTGAAGCATCAACTAACAATTAAGTTAATGAAGAGATTTATTTAGAATCAAATTCAGAGCCAGAATCAGATTTAAATTCAGACGATTTGGAATATACACAAAAAAGAAAAAAGGATAAATATAATAATAAAGATAGTAATAAAAAAATAAAATTATTAAAAATATAAGGTTAATAATAGTTATCTTTATAGATAAAGTCTGATAAATCAATGGAATTAATAAAAGGGTTTTCATTTTCAATGAAATTATAGAAAAAAATATTTTTATTTTTATTAATAAATTTATTTTTTAAATTAAATTTATCTTCACTTTTTTCATTTTCAGTATATTCTTTGTTTTTAGAATATTCTTCATCAGTATTTTCATTTTCAGAAGTATTGTTTTCAATTTCAGTACTTTCAACTGAATATTCTAAAGTTTTACTAGTAAAATCATTAATAAAACTGATTTTTTTAGTTTTAGTTTTGATTGGAATATTTTGAATAGATTCTTTGAATCGTTGTTCTTCTTCTTTAAGAATATCTCGTCCATGATTTTCAATAATTATGTCTTCACACCAATAAGCCCATGAAGAAATTTCATTTTTTTCATTTTTTTTATTTTTCAATTCTTCTTTTAATGATTTAATTTTTTGTTCAAGTCGTTCAATTTTTTCATTTAATTCTTTTCTTTAGATTTATTTCCTAGGTAGTTTTCACGACCAGAAAGTGTTTTTAAGGTATATTTTTTTTTCATAAGGCATTTTTATTAATTTAAATTTCGGGTGTGAAGGTTTATTTCATATTTATTTAGTTTGTTAGAAGTTTCTAAAATTCGATTTTAGTTAAATTTTTAATTTATCTATTTTTGTAATACAAATTTAGGTTTTTCCGTTATCTATTTCTTCTAAATTTGATTTATACTTATTTAGTAATATTTTTTTATTGGTTCATAAATTTTGTATTACATATAAATGATCTACTCAGATTAATTTTATTAAGTATTCAGTTTTTTGCAAAACGTATTCAGATATTTGCAAAAGTATTCAACTTTATTAAATGATGATTGGATGAATTTCAAAGTATTCAGTTTTTTGCAAAAAGTATTCAACTTTATTAAACGATGATTTGATGAATTTCAAAGTATTCAGTTTTTTGCAAGATATTTGCAAAAAGTATTCAACTTTATTAAACGATGATTGGATGAATTTCAAAGTATTCAGTTTTTTGCAAAACGTATTCAGATATTTGCAAAAAGTATTCAACTTTATTAAACGAAAGCAAAACGTATTCAGTTATTTGCAAAAAGTATTTAACTTTATTAAAGTATTCAGTTGGTGAATTTAAAACAAAAAATAATATATAAAATTTTTATTAGAAAATAAAAGAATTAATTAAAATTCAAAGTACATTTTTCTACAATACGAAAACTAATTTCATCTTGGATATTAAAATCAATAATACTATCTTTAGCATCTAATTTAATAGTATTAATTTTTTGTTTTTTAATAATTTTCTCTTCTTTATTTTGAACAACTGGTAAAGTTTTTCCACTAATAATATCTTCTTTGATCTCTTCAATAAAATTTTTAATTTGAGTTGGTATTGGTGTTGTTTGAATAATTGAAGTTTTATTATTTTGTCTTGTTAAATTATTAGAATTTTCTTTACATTGAATTTGATTAATTTCTTTAATTTGTTTCTTTCGTTTTTCATTTTTAGATATAGCTAAATTATATTCTTTTTTGTGATATTTAGCAAAATGTCTTTTAAGATTTGATAAATTCGTATCAAAAGGATAATTTGCTTCACAAATATTACAGATAAGTCTTGTTTTAAGAGTATTTTTATAAAAATTGTTGTGAATTTCATATGTGTTTCTCAATTTTTTTTTTCTTTATTTGTTTTTAAAATAAATGAATTTTTGTTTAATTATTTATAATTAATTTAATGATCACAAGATTTTTATTTATACCAAATTCGTATTTTACAAATCAAGCAGTTCATTGAATTAATTTAAATTGTTTAATTCGTATTTTACGAATTTGGTAATTCATTAAATCGTAAATAATTCTTAAATTCTTAGAATTTAAGTTTATCTGTTAGAATTTATTATTGAGTTTTTCTGTTAAGGAATTTTATTAATAAATATTGTGTGTAATTACATATTTTTATAATTAAAAAAAAAAGAATAAGTAAAATGACAAAAGTTATAAGAAAAAAAAATACGATTGCTTGTAATTATTGCAGGCTTAAAAAAATTAAATGTGATACAAAAATTATATGTAATAATTGTTCTAAACATAATAAAATTTGTAAACGAAAGAAAGGAAAAAAGCGTGGACCACCTTTTGGATTTAAAGAAAAAAAAGAAAAAATAAATTTTATGGATATAAATCAAATTTTAAATAAATAAATTTTATTTAATATAATTTGGATTTGAATAATTATAAACGACTTCATAAAATTTATTTATTTTTTTTTTAATATTAAGATGACCACTTAGGCCCTTGGCAATTTATTAGTACAAGTAGTAGACAATGTTAATTTTAGCACCAGCTTTATATATTTTATCAGTATCACGAGAGTACAACTAGTCACACATACAACTTTTGATTGCCTATTTAAGTAGTCCACCCGAAGCGTTA